TACTCATTTTTCCGTGTCAACAAATAATGATTATATACATCAGTAATATCGGTTATCGGCAATATCAGAAATCTGAATGCTGGATATCGGTATCGGCCAGAAATTTTAATATCGTGCATCACTAATAATTAATGATAATTTAATCATCGTGTCATTAAAGTTCCATTTGTGTTTTAATATAATAGCCGAGATATCTCACCTGTACTTGTAAATTACTTGAAATAATGATGTAATGAAACAATACTACAGTTCCTTACAGTGTGTTCCTTGTATTCTCATATAAATCAAAGCTTTCCAAATGTTTATCCATATATATACAAAATGCACTCACATTTTATTAACATAGATGCGTACCGACCACATCATACAGAGCAATCAAACCACTGACAGGGGAAGCCAGTGACACTGAATATTTCACATCACGGAAACAGCACTTCATGATGCCAAAAGCCTCCCTTAGCAGAACAGTGCACCCTGCTACACTACAAAAATTGCTCAGGAACGGTTTGAGGAACACAACAAAGAGCCTGAGATGTTGACTTGGCCTCCAGACTCCCCAAATCCTGATCTGATCGAGCGTCCTTGAGATGTGCCGGAGCAAAGTCGATCTAAAGAAGCTCCACCCTGCAAACCACAGGACCAAAAGAATCCACTACAACATGTTGGGGCCAGACACCACAAACACCACCTGAAGCATCAGAACTGTTTGGGCAGCACAAAGGGGATCTACACTGTATTAGGCAGTTGGTTTTAATATTGTGGCTGACCATCTTTCATTTATGACGTCGTTACATGTAGCTGCTCTCAAGTTTTGAAAATTTGTCATAAAATGATATTAAACATCTCCTTGGGTTTGCATCTTGTGTATGTAGTTGTTTCATTTACCTGTTGTTTTTTTTTTAAGTCTGCGTCGGGATTTTTGTGCTTAATGACTCCTGACAGTTGCTGTTCATACGGTAGTTTCTAGGTATTGTCTGTATTTGTGACATCTGTTGCTTGTCTCTTGCATATCGATTTGTTTTAGAAGAAGGAGGTAAATTTAAGATTTTCTACAACTAGATTTCACTTGTGATTTTCATGAGACACAATTATATAAAGGTACTGTTTCTCTCTTCTACAAAAACTACCTTTATTACAAGCAGCTATGTTTACTTGCCTGTCTTCAGTTTTTCCTATCGTGGCGTATTGACGGGTTTTTGGTCAGTGGACCAATGTGTTAACAAACAACTGCCATTTCCAAGCTGAGACTTAATCCTGTAACACTTTGGACCTTAGAGCTTATAGTCTTATGTACAGCCTTTACATCAATCACATTTCAGCAGCTCAGACACCTGGAGGTCAGAAACTGGAAGATATTAGAGTGGACGCCAAAAGAGAAGATGTAACACATAACTCAGTTAATAATCAATGATGGAGTCATATTTTAGCAGCTAAAATTCAGGGTACAAAACAAAAATATCCAGCATGTTCTTTTTGTAAACCTGAGGCTTAATTAAGCACAGGAGAGGATGATATAATGCAGACACGAACATGACATCATATATCACAAGGAAAAAGAGTCAGGGAGAGATATTATCGCTTCACAGCTTATACATTCATCGGCTTAGTTAATATTTTATAGGGCTCTAAAACCCTCATTCTCTCTAAATTGTCGTTCCTTCTTGGCAATAATAATTTAAATGCAGGGAGCCACTGAGGGCTGCAGCAGTGTGTTAGAGCCTACATGTAAATTATATGTGTATGCGTGCACATATGTATGCATGTAGGTGCTCACACAGCCACCATAAAGGCACATAAAGAAGCACACCAAGGCTCATTTGGACGTTGACAAAAGCGAAGAGTACGGTGCTTAATCTTGCATTCACAAATGCAGAAAGTTCACCAGCCTCTATACTTTAATTTCCCAATTTTGTAAAAATGTAGAGACCACACAGTTTCCCACTTTCTGACAAGCAGTAGTTATTTTCTATCTCCAAATGCAAATGTGACCAGAGGCTTGGCATCTGCCTGAGGGCTCAGTCGGCTGACAGTATGCATCCTGGGGAGTGATCTATTGATCCATATTCAATATCTGCTACACTCTCCAGCTCAGTAAAGTTGGGAGATGAATAAATAAGGAGCAGAACTGACAGTGCATACGAGTACACTAGGACTGGGAGTGTCTAAACGCTTCTTGCTTGGCGTTTTTTTTTTTTTTTTTTTGGCGTAAATGCCCCCAGATCAACATTTTTTCACTACAGCATAAGCAAGATTAACAACAACGACCATGTGGAATACTAAGACAGATGTAGTTTTCAGGTGTGTGAGCTAACAGATAGAAACACCTTTTTTACTGTAACAGCTGCCCAACAACAAGCACCACGGGTTTCCAAAAAATTAAAAACTGAGAATGAATTAATTTGTGGATGCTAAAAATGTAAAATCAGTTAGAGAGGCGAGAAAGATAAAGAAAGAGAGCAGGAGGAGACAGAGGAGGAGGAGGAGGAGGAGGAGGAGGGGAGATGTCAGCAGCGATACATCTTTCATCTCTAACGAGGTCTGAAAGCTACAAAAACACAGACATTGACAACAGAACCCTGAAAACAGCACTCTCCTCCTTTCATTTTATCTTTTCACTTGGCCCGCCTGCATGATGCGTTTCAGTCTCACATCTGTAAGCCCACGTTTTGTAGCTTACACTTCAGTCTTCTCACACCTGCTGTTCTTCCAAACACAGCTCCACAAGTAGCTACATCTTACTCTACTTGAAAATCTTTATTTAGCTAAGCAGGGCTGCAGCTCTCCTGATCATCTACTGTGTGGCCCTTATATATGTATACAAAAAAAAAAAGAGAGAAGCCAAGGAAAAGATGTGCAGAGAAATTGCAACAAAAAAAAAAGTAAATCGTCCCATTACTAGAATAATTGTGTTAATCACAATCACACAATTAATAATTTTAGTTGTTTTTTTTTTTTTTTTGGAGGGGGGAAAGTCAAACAATTGTGGAGCAAAAATATTGTCAATATTTGAACTGCAAACGACAAGCTTTGATTAAACTATTAAACAGATGTAGTCGTTTGATTTGGGAAAAGGTCACATGCAGGATGGGACGATGGATCTGTGTGTGTGTGTGTGTGTGTGTGTGTGTGTGTGTGTTGCAGAGGGCGGGGGGAGCTGCTGTAGTAGGCAGATGCTGAGGAGAGAGAAGCAGGACAGAAAAAAAACAACAAGTGAGTGAACTGTTGCTCTGCAAATAAAGTCGCTGTGCACCGGGATTTTTTTTTTTATTATTGCAAAAAAAAAAAAAGCGAAAGTCTGCAAAAGTAACTCGTCAGAATATGTGATTTTGTTTTTGGGAAGAAGCGAGTCTAAATTGTGTTATCGTCACTCTTCTTTTTTGTTGTAATTTTTTCTTCCCTCTCCGTGTCTGCCTCGGACCGCCCGGAGCCTTTCGGACGCTGCGCTCCGGACCACCGGGGCTCCTGGATGAGACGCTGTAAGTTTGAAACGAGCCTGTTATTATGAGTGTTTGCGAGCCGAGCTGACTTTGGACCGAAGCGCAACTTCAGCCGGTCTGTGGAGGATTTCAATCCGGTCCTGGAGCAGCTTCTTCTTTTTTTTTTTTTTTTTTTTCGTCATTCCTTTTCCTGCGGCGTTTCCACCTGAACCCGCAGCATGAAAAGACGCTGAACACCGGAGAGACAAGAGTGAAAGAAGGGGGAAATATTGGTAAGCTCATCTATTTGCATGACTTTGCCAAAAGTTTTTTTTTTTTAGAAATCGTTATTTCAGATTTTTTTTAAATTAAAGCAATTAAAACAGAATTGGATTTATTAGAAATACTTCATCATGATTCAAGTATTTTAGCTGTTAAAAACTTGCAGCTCTTATAGGCCTGTGATAATATCAACACGTACCTGTGAAAGCAGCCTGTCTATTGTATTCCTGATGCTTCCTTCGTCTTTACTTCTATGAATAATGTATAAGCTATTTAAATAGATTGGAGGCACTGCATATAAATAATATGAATAATCCATCTGTTGCCTGTTGCGTGTTTTTTCTTTGTTTAATTGATTAGTACACGTTTAAATGTCTGATTGCAAAATGAAGTTTCTAATATTCTTCTTTATTTTAAATTGAATATGTCATCTATCAAATTGATATATTGTTGTGTTGTTCTATATTATGTGTGTGTATGTTTGCTTCTAGATTGCAAGAATTTCACTGATTTGCTTTGTGTTTTCCACATTCAATGCTCTTTTTCTCAGAATTTGCCTTTTTTATGAGCTGTAATAAATCTGCAGTTTAAATGGAGATATGGATCTCTGAGATAAATCTAGTAAACAAACACGAGCAGGGAGGGAGAAAGAAAGAAAAGAGCAGACGTTTAACAGTTTCCTTGTACTTCTCTTCTCATTCCTGGACAGACAAGTAAAGCGCCCTTCCCCTGTATGTGGTGGGTGAGATGAACTCCAGTGGGAATACTGTAGACCCCACCTGACAGCTCTCTGCCTGAACAACTGAAGGATTTCTGCTGGAGCTTCCACCACCTCGGAGCTGGATTAAAATAAAAAAGCAGCTTGCTTAAAATCCAACATGTTCATTTTTTAACCAAGAAATTAGAAATATTCACAGTATACGATGTACTGTCTTTAGATAGGGTGAAAGCCGTCAGACATTGTGAACCAGAGGAAAGTGACAAATAAAAGGATACAAAACAAATGTACTGAACACCGAGAAATGGAAAAACCTATTTGTCATTCTCCCCTTACTTCTGATTTTCTCCTGCTCCTGTCTGAGAATTTCCCAGTCCTTCAGTAGTCCCAAATTTTATTCCTCTGTCCCTACAAAATCACTATTTTTCCTCCTCCATCTTCTCGATTCAGTAGTTACTTTCTACCCAGAGTTCAGCCTGGCCGGCACAACCATTCCAGCTAAAGGGGAGGAGGACTTCCTCACGCTGGCCGCCTCACGGCTCAGCCGCAAGAAACGCGTCATCGGGGCTGGAGTTGGCGTGGCCATGGTCCTGGTCCTGCTGGTGGCCATTCCCCTATTGGTCCACACCACGAAGGGGGGAGGGTCGGGGGGAGGGGGCACGCATTATGAGATGCTTGGGAGCTGCAAGATGGTGTGTGACACTTTCACCCCCCCACAGGGAGAGCTGACAGCCGTCTCCCCTCAACCCCCAGACTTCCCCAACCGCAGGGGCAAACAGGGCTTCAGAGGGAGCCCCGGACTTCCTGGTCCTCCAGGTCCTAAGGGGCCCCCCGGAGAGCCTGGTAAGCCCGGCCCACCTGGTCCACCGGGGCCTGGACCCGGCGGTTATGGCCCTTCCTTCTACAGTCCTAAAATTGCCTTCTACGCCGGCCTCCGGAAACAACACGAAGGGAGTGAAATACTGAAGTTTGATGACGTGGTCACCAACGTGGGGAACTACTACGAGCCGAGTACTGGCAAGTTCACCTGCCCTCTGCCTGGCATCTACTACTTCACCTACCACGTCCTGATGAGAGGCGGTGATGGGACGAGCATGTGGGCCGACCTGAAGAAGAACGGGCAGGTGAGTGTGGGTGACGTGTTGACATTGTTTATCTAAACTTGGATGAACTACATTTTGACACAAACCCTCCATCTGCAAAACAAACCAACTAAAAACATCAGTGAAAATCTTCTGTACAGTCATGTGCAGAGTTTGATACAGTATCACCAATGCAAGGAAGTACAACATAACATGAGCTATTCAAACTATTAAATAGCAAAATACATCATTTTTACACACCCTAAAGAGTGACACTTTAAACTGTTTTCTTTCCCTGTTGGCTCAGCAACATGATTTCCTTTCTAAAAACCATCACAAAACAGCTGCAGAGATAAAACATCACTATGATTTTGTTACAGTGAGGCACTAATAAGTATAAGCTAATGAAAAAGTGGGATTTTGGATGAAATACTGATTTCATTAACGTCAGAATCATTGTTGTCATATAGTTAAAATAACAACTGCAGAGCTGCAAAGCTATTGTAGGGCTATTGAAGCAGAACGGATTGTTCCGTACAGGTGTTGACTGCCATGGTCAAAACATAATTTCTAACAATAAAGCATTGAGAACATCACAGTGAAGTTTTAGACAAAGAAGTCTAAAGCAAGGAGATTTCACATAGTTAAAAAAAAACAACAAATCAAAATTCAGTTTTATTTGGAGGAAAATTAAAGCAGAATGCTGAAAAGTAGTAACGCTCTGTTAAAAAACACTATTTCATCTGAAAACATCCCAAAAGTCAATGATTTACTATGGAGGACAAAGAGGAAGAAACGAAGACAGGATGAAAGTAGGAACAGAGGTGGGTAAAGAACTGCTTTACATGGAAAATAATTATTTGTATACAGCTTGCAAACAGAGAGAGAGTGACAGCCAAGCGATCAACAGGATAACAACCCTCCACGTCTCGGTGGAACAAAGCCAAAATGCAACAGCTGGCTACTGTCCTCTGAGGAACTCTGACTTTAACACTAATAAATAAACAAGTACAAATGCCTGGAAAAAGCCTTGAATGCTTCCATCTGGAGAACCGTGACAAGCTTGAAGTACTAAGCCCTCACTCTGTTGAGGAGCTCTGATTCTGACATGTGTGCTGCAGAACAGAAGAGTGATGTCCTGGGGATTACCAGAAAAGAAGGAAAAAACACGCCTTGCGTTGTTACAAGGCTTTGATGGTACCACAGTTTCCTCTACACATAATTTACACGGTACATGAACTGACAGCAATATGCTTCTGCAGACCCTCGCCGTGCTGGGCTGCTGTTCACTGATTTGCTTTAGTGAATCTACATCTTAAAAGATTTTAAATAAGTGGGCTGGTAAGAAATTGTCAGAGGTTAGTTTTCATTGAACAGTTGACACTGTAGAGCAGGACAGATGCAACAAAAGTATCTGCGTGTTAAGGGTCAATTCAAGCTTTCCATGAGCGCAGACCAGTGCGGCTTTTGAAAGTACAGAGCAGAAGGTGGCATTGCTACTCGTATCGAACATGGAAAACCACACAGGGATATAGCAGCTGCTTACAGATGACACAGTAGCACCATGTAACTGTTATTATTCCTCAGGTTTGCTGAGCACAGTGGACAGACAAAGCACAGAGTACCTGGAAAACCATGTACCAATCAAAGTTCCTCCATATTCCAGCAGTGACTGCTACGATTAGAACTCTTTAAATTCCAATGGATGATGGAGAATCACCTTGGAGAGTCTCTCCTCATACCAAACATTAGTTTTAGGCACTATGTGTTCTCCTGGTAGATGCGCAGTAGGTCGCAGTCTGTCCGTCCACGCGATCACAAATTTTGGGTTGCATGCAGACGTCAGCATGGACCTCAGAAATTCGAGTGGATGACAAAATTTACATCATAAATATCCTCGTGTATGCAGATGTGGAAAGCGGGAATTGGCCTCAAGAGTCTCAACACTAGTTTCAAGTTTTCCTGAAAAACTGTAATCCCTAATTCCCTGTGGTCTTTATTAGTGGCTCATGCTAATGCTACTTTTGGCAAATGGAGTGCAGCAGACCAACATAAGCATCACCACGTTCCCTCTTATTACTTGCCTGGACTTCACAGTGAGGTTCACGCAGCCCTCAGGCCAAACAGTAGGAGTCACCGGCGCAGCAACGAAGACGGCCATCAGACCCCTTTCACTTTGATGCAACAGTGCTACTGATAAACTCACCGAGACCAATGTGGTAGACCATGCCACCAAGAATCAAGCGGGCGATGCGAGATTGTATGAACTGAATGTGTGCAGTGGCACGGATACTCTGCTGTGATTGATGGTTAAGTTTAAAGTAGAGATTAAACAATCTAGTACCAACACAATCAAACCAGTGTGGTTGACTGCAAGCTCCACCACTGCAGCCCACCCATGTGTTCCCAGCTCCATCTGTTTGTTGGTTAACTGGATATCTCGAAAACCTGTTGGGGGAAAGTTTATTAAGAAAGAACGTATTCATTTCTGGTGCAGACACAGGGTTTGCTTTTTTTTAGCACAGCAAGATTACAAAAAGTTCTTTTAATTTCAACATCCCATATCCGCTGATTGTCCATTGCAGTGTGTATTTTGTGCAGATCTGGACCAGGATGCAGATCACAAATTGGTGCTTCAACACTAATGATCCTCTTCATTATTGATCATTCTGCTGGTTAGTTTCTCGATAAACTGAATATTTTAATCTGTGAAAGATTGATAATGTATGAATCTATGTCTTCCAACTGATTGTTTTTTTCTGACTAACAGTCCAAATACCTGAAGGCATTAAATTCACGATGATACGATCTCGAAAAAAAAAGCAGTAAATCTTCATATTTGATGAGATGGAAACAGCAATGTTTGGCATGTTGGCTTGAACAATGACTTAAATGATAAATTAGTTTCTAAAATACATTTGGAATGCATACTTCAACCAAGGCTATGAAATCCACCAACTTAATAATAAAAACGTATAATTTGCTGCCTGGATCTGCAAGTAAGAGTACAGTATTACAAAGATGAGCCAGATTTTTAAATTAACAATCATGAGGTAACTGGGAAAATCAATCAAAATGTCCTTTTGCAATATGCTGTTAAATCAGGCTTAAAAAAAAAAAAAGAGAAAAAGGCCATGGTCTCACTTTGTGACTTTTCTTGTTTGTTTGTTTAACTGGAATCTGTAGTTTTAGAATAAATTTACTGACGCACAGTAATGAAATATATTATCAGTGTTTTTAAAATTCTATTTTTGTTTTATAGGCCTTTACATCCAGCCGTCATTGTTTAGTAGCTTTTGTTAGCTTTTATTTGACCGATCAAGTCCATAAAGATATTTATTCCCCAATTTATCGATTTGACAGGACGTGTATAAGGTGCAGGATAAAGAGGACAGACAGTTAAATGCCAGATATAATTGGGGGGACTTGGTTTGTTGCGTGCTTTCACAGACATTGTCATTCCTGTCTTCTCCTGCTGTTAAATCTTTCATAGCCTTTAGATGAGATCTTCTCCCCTTCACCTGTGCCCCTCCTTTACACACACACACACACACACACACCCACACACACACACACACGCACACACACTTTACACTTTTCCACGTCCACACTGGCTATTGACTCCTTCCCCATTAATTATCTTTTCCATCAACTAAATTATTTAACCCAATTCAACGCTGATCTTGCCCTCACAGTTTCATTGCACCTGCTGCTTTTTCAGTGAATAGACAAGTGCAGGGAAGCTGCCAGGTCAATGAGAAAACTTTAATACAGAAATTGTCAATTGAGAAGCTGGTAAAGGCGCTCACTAGCACATTAGTTCTATATTACAGTGTGGATTTGATTTCATCCACTTATAAGCAGTAGGTTTTCTAACATGGGGGGATCCAAACAGAGGACCCCTCTGCTCCCTTACCACTAACTAACACACACATTAATGTCGATGGGTTAACTAGCAGGTTGCATTTTGGTCATTTTGCTGACAAAGGAGATGGTTTCCCCCCTAAAATCGCCTACAGCTTGTATAATGACATTGTCCTACCTTGAGACAGAGATTATGAGTGGGGATATACAAAAGAGGAATACCTTGACATTTTGGGAAATACCCCGATTCACTTTCTACTAGCAGTTAGATGAGAACATTGAAAACACCCTGTCTGTTCTGGGCATTAAAATATATAGGAGGAGCTGTTGACTGTCTCATACCAGCACATGTCAACACCTTGGACATATAAAGAGTGTATGTGACCACCAAGTGGATTTTTACACATTACTAAATAAAAATGAATTAAAACTATGTTACGATTAGCTGACACACACCTAATATTTACACCCAGTAGCTGCCATGTGTAATCGCATTATTATAGTGTATGGTCAACGGTTTTGACATTTTTTAAGTGCTCTTCAAAAGTGATGCAAAACTTTAAGATTTTCAATTAGACTTCACAACGATAAGACAACATACCTCAAATAATGAAGTTAATAAAATTTAATTTGATTTAAAAAAAAATGTTTAGATACTCCTAATGCTACAGACATACATTGTAAAATTGTCAAAGTGTAGGTTGTGATAACATGACGAAGTGCTGTGTCCCAGTTTTGTGCATAATGCATTGAATAGTACATGCTATTAAGGGCAGCTTTAGTATGTACTTTTAAAAACAGGATGGGGTTTGGGACACAGTTATAGTTGAAAGCTCCTGATTGAATAGGATAAATGTTTCCTAGCAATTTACACATCACTGTTTTTATTATGATTGTGTAAGCCCATTTAGTAAATCGGTAGTTTGAACAGTAGTTACTAGGAACATAGAAAAGGACGAAATCACTATGGGAACATGACTGGGTTGGAGCATTGTGTATATTTAATTAATTTTAGCTTTTATTATATTGATTTTTTTCCCTGTATTTATTCTGTTTTAATTGGAAGACTAAAAACAAAAAGGATTTTTTTTAAACAATAAAAAAGCTATGCTAATTGGCAGCTGGTCTCAGTTTCATGTTCACGCTACGGATAAATTCACATAGACAGAAAATCAGCA